GGCACCTTTGGATGCCTATAGACTGACAACCAATGATGATATAAACCTGGCAGTGGTCTCATTTTAAAGCTGTTGAATGGGGTTTCAATATGAAATGATACCCACAAGATAGGGTTTTAATTTTAAAAAATGAAAATTTTAAAATTTAAATTTTTAAAAAAGAGGCAATTTTAAAAAAATTTAAAAATTATCATATATAGTTTATAATGTCTTAATACATACAGAAAAATTCTATCATGGGATCTCAATGGGATCAAGAGATACAGGGCAGATTTAAAAATAATTGTATTACATAACTGAAATTTGGTATTTTTTCATAAGTAATATTGCTGCATCAAAAAAATCGTGAAAATCTGAGACATCAATTCTGAAAATCTCCCAAAATTGTGTTGAATTGACATAAAATGACCCTATTGCAGCCCATGAGCACCGGCAATGAACTTCAAGCAACGGCTACAGATGCGATGTTGCCTCTGAGGACTAACATGTAACGATTCACAGCCTGTTATTATCCTGGCTCTCAATGTCTTCAGACTGGGACACATACTGTTGCTTGGTGGCAGAAAGAAGTATGAGGATGATATCTAGCCAGACAGACTTCTAGGTAGAAAAATATCCTACCACCTAGTGGATCATTTAAGAACTATGTTTCCACATCTGTTGTAACTGTTGTTCTGCAAGCCATAATATGGACACAATTTTCTGATTATTTTAAAATGTTGTGAGTGTCAAGTAAGTAGGAGTTTCCCTGACATTAACATATATAATTTAGAAAGCAGTAGATCTTGGGACTCTAACACATATTTTCAAGTTCACACTTTCAGAATTCAATCCTACTAAACCTAAATTTAAATATTAACTTCAAACTATTACATCACTATTAACATTACAAATATTTCTCTTATTCACTTTAAGTAAACTGCAAATGCTTGCATAAGAAATAATTTACAACAAAACTCAAATGGCCGATTTGAACTTACCACTTTCTAGAGTTTGCATTCTGCACCCTTAAATATTAGACCACTGTCACTTAGTTTCAAATGGAAGTTAATAACAATATACAATACTAAAACTGCAAGTTCCCTTTGCAGAGTTTTAACCTTCTTGACTTTATATCAACTGCAGTATGAAGTTTAAAATGAGTTTGGACATCTAACAATTAGATTATTTTATCTCATAAGGATGTGAGCAGTGATCTTTTCCTAATAAAACTAGAATAACCTGCCCATGGTGGCAACTATGGCCAGTAATAATAATACCAAAAACTATATTTAAAATATATAAAACATATTTTCAACCTATTATGGAATATGTATTCTAAATTAATAATTGCTGGTGAAGCTTCAATGAGATATTCAAGTTCCTAGAGCATTGAAAACTTACAGTATCAGGAAAGTCTACAGACACTTAAGCTTACAACTCTGAAAGATCACTAAGAATGAGTGGAAACACATAATACATAATGACTATGATCTAGAAAATTTTGACAAACTATATCATTCCATTACTAATCCTAGAGACATCACACATCTTAGAGGCATCATTTCAAATTGACTAAAGCAATGTCACAATATTACTTACCTATTTTAGCCTAAGAGAGATTAAAGTATGGAACAAGTTGCTATCAAAAGTGATATCAGCACAAGCATTAAACCATTTTAGGAACAGATAGGATAAACAAATAAAATAAAAGCAAATATTTTATTGCTGGTCAGTAATGGAAACAGCAACTCATAAAGGGCCCGCAACAAATCGGTGCAGCTCATCAATCGATTTTATTTTGTTTTTGGCTCTTTTTGACTTGCTGCTTCCATTACTGAGCAGTTGGTTTCTTTGACCCTGCTAAAAGTTGCCGGCCTGGGACGTAAATTAATACATACCGCTTAAGATTACAGCGCCATCTATAGAAAGCCTTTAAAACACCGCACTTAAAAACCGGGCCCAATACTAGAAATAATCTTTCTAGTATTAGGCCCGAAATAAAACCAAACATCCAAAACAAAGGAGCTTAAAACATGAGCAGCATTAAGCTGCTATTGTACACTGGTATTCTGTGAGAGCACAATACCACCCCGGTCGAACTTACCCATCCTTGATACAAATAAAATATATCTACATCAGCACAGGACAAAATTAATTGCATGTGTGTGTAAGCAAGCACATGTGCACATTATTCCCTATTTTGATTTCCCAGTCTGATAGGAATATGAAAACATGAGAGTGAGGGAATTTCTCTGTCTGAGGGCACATGTGCACTTTATTATCCCACTTTAATAGTCCAATAGAATGGCTTTAAATGTGTGAAAGATCTAACCATGGTAGATGTTAATTTCTAGACAGAATATTCATTTAAGTAATATAATATACTAGACAAGATATCGCGAACGAAATTTAAGCAGCAAGCAGTGCGGGTCGAGTGGCAGCAGGCACAGGGTAGCTTTTTATGGCACAGATTCAGTAAGTTTGAGCCCGCGGGCACTAACATGTATTGCAAACTAAGTCTGGGTGTCTATTCTAGTACGTCTCTAGTACATATTACTTCAACAATGTTACTGATTTTAGTGTAACCCACGATTCCAGGTTAACTATTGTTTTTCATACGCTGTACCTAAGCCTGCCACAATCTTCAGCGATAACAATAAATCACCGCAACTTCAGTCCACAATATTAAAAAATATTAACAAACTTACAAAACTGTTCATCAATATTTTATATAAATTTTGGAGGCCAGTCTTCTTTAGTATAAACATGAGTACATTAACTCTTAAGCAAATTCTGCAAACTTCATTAAAGGCCATTTTTGTTTCTTATAGCTTTAATATAATTAAATCCTTTTTTTTACGTTTTCAAGCCGTGGTTTTCAAAATGAAAAATGATAAAACCTATAGACATAAGAGACATACGTCTATGAATGTCTATGATAAATACACCAGAACACTATTACCACGGCATAGAATCTTACGGCGCCTCTACACGTTGGCCAACACAGTGGCGAATGTAATGGCCAATAGCATTGGCCAACGTGTAGACGGGGTGTTTGGGCTTCATTGGTATGTATTGGAACGATGGCCCGCAAGTTGGCGCGAGGTCCGTGTGGTGTCGGTTTTTTATAAAAGATCAAAGGATTGTTGGCAGAGTTTGGTCGCCGCGTCCACACGTTGGCCGCGAGTTTAGTTTGCTACAAGCTCCCAGAGTGATTACACGCATCTGATTAAAATTTTATATTCACGCTTTGTAAGGTGGATGACCCAATTACCAGCCTTTTTAGTGCCAATTTCAAGTTTAAACATTCCTACTACTTTAATTAGTGCGATTTAATTATTTTTAAACATTTGTTTTAATCAAATAAATAAATAATAAAACATTTATTTACAATCAGATTATTACGAGAACAATTTTAAAATGAAAAAAGAATGTAGTACGTCGTTTATACGTGGTAGAACTATGCAGTTATATTAGAAGTATAGTTGTAGCACGAATGGGTCGGTTCGACCGGGGAAGGACCACGCCCTCACAGAATATCAATGTAAAAGCTTAATGATGCTGTGTTTCGTATAGTGAGTGTAGAGAACCAGAGACACTTTTTAAAGGAAACGAGGCATTTCATCTTAGTCCTCACGGGTGACAACGCATCTGCGTTTTGATTCGTAATCGAGGATAGATGTAGATGTCTGTGGGCCACAGCAACCACTTACCATCAGGTGAACTGTGTGCTCGTTTGTCACCCTATCCCATATAAAAAAGCGTCAATTTCTTATAAAATAATCGTGCAAGTTTTCGAATCATTATCATCATTACAGCTCTACACAAGTCAACATCCTCTCATCATAGACTAATCGATTATAACTCCTTTAACTTTGAAATAAGTTAAGTTCTTATTAATGGCATTTATTTCAGTTTATGATGCATGATCGTATATCGTATATCTATTTACAGCCCCATTAATATCCACTATTATTTTATAATTCTTTTATAAAAACGTTAGCCCCACACTAGGATTTTCTCCCGTATCGCGGAGGCAGTTTACAAACATAAATTGCACAAGGACACACATCCAGACCCGAAACAATTGTTTGTAGGACATACAAATACTTGTACCGTGCGGGATCAAACCCGCGGCTCCCGGCGCAGCCACTCATTGCTGAGCCACTGCGCCACGGTGCTTATAAATTCGTCCGCACATTGGCCCGAACCGAAGTAAACTGAACGACCTTCCAACGTGTGGACGCCGTCACCAACTCTCGGCCAATATATTCGCCACTCCATTCGCCACTGTGTTGGCCAACGTGTAGAGGCGACATTAGAACAATAAAATTAGCCCTTATTTTCAACCATAGATTCAAACCGGTAGTTTGGAAAATGACATTTCTTATTACCACAGATTGAGTTCCAAACTTCCATAACTTTTATTCACAGAGAACAGAGACTATTAAGAGGATATAGTATAGGAACAGGATACTCCTTTCATTATTTTCAGTTTATACTTCCTATTTATAAAAAAGTACTCTGTGGTTTATACAAAGATACTCTGTATTCATTATTTCAAATTTTCAATTTCATTACCACGGCGTTGACAGCTAGAACATAACTTAAGAGTTTGGAGGGCACTCTTAAATCAACACTTGGTGGCGCCACAGACTTCCTATTTTGACAAATGTCAGTTAAATGTTGACACTTGAAAGTAGCAATCTTTTTTTTACAAATCGCTGTCGATTCGTAAGACTCGTACACGTTTCTGTATTTTTTTTGGTTACTGCTCTACAAATTCACTAGCAACGTTGAGTTGAGCTTCAGTTCCTCCGTTATCTCGTCGAATCTTTGTGGTGCTGTTGATTCAGTGACTTATAAGAGACAGGACTCATTTTAGAGATAGAACTCATATTTTTTGGTGTTATTATCTACTAGTGCCGTAGGGTTAAATAATGCCTATTACCGTGTGTTGTGTCAACTCTTGTCTTGCCAAGGATATAGTAATGTTTTACTTTCCTCGAGACAAAAACATGCAAAGCCTTTGGCTTTCTTATGTCGCTCCTCATAGCCCTGAACTTCTTCAACTGTCATCGAAACAATTAGCCAAAAAGAAGATTTGTATCAGGCATTTCGAACATCAATATCTTGATGGCTTCACGAGGAAATACCACGGTTATCCTACTCTACTGACTGAAGAAGAAATAGCTTGTGGAGTACCCAGTAAGTACGAAAATATCTTTCCCATTTAGAGCCAAATTTAGAAATATATTTGATAAAGACTGAATTATACCCGAGGCAGTGGTTTAAATTATTTATCAATGCAATATTAACCATGAGAGTAGAGTTTGAAGAAAATATGATACTAAATATATTGCATGTTCTTATGCAAAATTTTTTTTTGGTTTTATAATCACTGTTTTAAAAGCTATCTTATATTACAAAATAGCTAAAGTGATATTTATTTCAGGTCAATCCATCACTGACTATTATGATCATACTTACTGTAAAAGAAGGCAAGGTATGGAAGAAGCAGCTCCTGAAATAATTAAAAAGCCAAAATATAGTAAAGAATACATGCTGGGTAAATATTTTTTTAATATTAGCTTGATATATATTATGTACACATCACACATATGTTTACCTTGAACAAATTGTCCGATTAAGTAAGTCCAACTTTAACCTAGACATCAATCAACGGATCCAACTCAGCTGGGCAGCGTGTGAAGATTATGACACATCTTGTCATATATACCTCAAAACTTGAAAACAAGATTATACAACCAGTGCATAATGCCATTGATAACATATGGATCTGAGATGTGGTCCTCTATGCAAAGGTCGTCTGGGAGAGATCACTTTCAGAGTGACAAGAACGCTTGTTGTTCATATTATACTTTAGATTGAACTCTACTCATTTTCCTGTATTTTGGTATACAATTAAAAATAAAAATAAAGTTATAAAGTAATTATTTTAATTGCAGTTAATTTAGATAATTCACAAAATAGTAAAAGAGAAAATACTGGAGAGACTTCTGTGTCAGATGACATCACCATGTTGTCAAAGCCATCAACTTCTCAGCAAAGTTATTACATCTCCATGTCGCCAAAACCATCAACTTCTCAGCAAAGTTATGATGTCCCCATTTCACCAAAGCCATCGACAATTCAACACAGTAAGTTTATTTTAAATTAATGTAATGTTAAATGTTTATACATAATTTCATACTTTATTTTCCACTATGATCACAAAATACCTGAGCATCATAGTGATCTTTCTTTATACCAGATTGTAAAATAAGAGTCATATTAATTGTAATTTAACATGTAGTTTCCTAGTGTTAATGTTTTTACATACATGTGTACTTTTTTATAGTCAAAAGTTAGAACAATGCCAACAGTTAAATAAAAATATTTATTTTATATGAACCATTTGTAATACTGATTACAATATCACTCATACATATTTTTTTCCAGGTGATAAAAACAAATGTATTAAGCTTGTAAAAAGTAGACCTCGACTTGTAACCAATATTAACAACTTAACTCCAAGATGTCGAAGGTTGTACTTTAAGTGTAAAGATATGATTAAAAGAAAGAGATTGTTTACAAGTAATGAAGATAACAAACAAAACATTGCTCATGCAGAAATTCTTAGCAATACCAAAAGTTTTAGAAAATTAATAGAAAAGTTAGATTTCTTCCCAAAACAGTTTATAGCATTGCAGCTGAGGTTTGCTGGTAAAGCTTCAAAAGGAAGAAGGTATAATATTGATGAAAAATTAATGAGCATTGCGCTGTATAAACAGAGCCCTAAGGGGTATTCCCTTCTACAAAAATTATTCTCTTTACCAACCAAAAGAACTCTGAATAGAGTTTTACAAAATATTAAATTTGGAGAACGTATAAATGAAAACTTTTTTTGCAATTTTAAAACAAAAAATCAAAACATTGAGTAATGCAAAAAAACTGTGCAGCATTGTTTTTGATGAAGTTCAGTTATCTGCACATTTGAATTTTATTGCAAGCAATGATGAAATTGAGGGGTTTGTAAAAGCAGATGGGCCCCCAAAATTTGCTGACCATGCTTTGGTAGTGATGCTCAGAGGTATTTGTGCATCATGGCGACAACCAGTCGCTTACTATTTTTGCCAAGGAACTACACCAGCAGCTACTTTGAAACATATTTTAAAGGATATGGTTAAGATAGTAATCGAATCTGGATTAAAGCCTTTAGCCTTCATTTGTGACCAGGGAGCTACATCACAGCGTGCTCTTAAAGATCTTCAAGAAGAGACTAAGAGACACTGTTTTCAAAATAATATAAAATTTGGTAAGCTTAAAAAATAATATTAAATACATATAATATTTTTTTTTATAGGATAGGGTGACAAACGAGCACACAGTCCACCTGAAGGTAAGTGGCTACTGTGGCCCATAGACATCTACATTTATCCTTATTTGTGAATCAAAATGCAGATGCGTTGTCACCTGTGAGGACTAAGATGGAATGCCTCTTTTCCAGTAAAAAGGGTCTCCGGTTCTCTACACTCACCATACGAAACACAGCAGTGTTAAGCTGCTATTTTACGCTGGTATTTTGTGAGAGCGTGGTCCTTCCCCGGTCGAGCCAACCCATTCGTGCTACAACTATACTACTAATATAACTGCATCATGGCTCTACCACATATAATAATATACCTAGTATTATGTCGATTCCTACTTTAAAATGGGTTAAATTAAACTTTTGAGCACTGAAGGTTTTGGTTTTGAGACCAAAGGTTCTGAAAACATTTTAATGAGTGGAAGCTAAAATGCACAACTCCTATAAAGTCTTCGAGTTGAGCACTTCACCTATTTTTCTCTCTCTAAAATTATAAACCTTGTAAAAATAATATCCCATCATTGTAATGAAATATTTTTTTATAGATGGTAGTATCCTAATTGGGGGAAGTAACTTAAGTGTGATCTATGATCCTCCACACTTAATAAAAGGCCTACGCAACAACATGTTGAATAAGAATTTAATTTTTGAGGGAAAATTAACAAAATGGGAAGACATTGTAGATGTTTATAACTATGACTGTAAATTAGGAAATATAAGAATGCTCCCAAAATTGTCAGATGAGCATGTTATACCAGAAAAAATAAAGAAGATGAAAGTTAAGAACTGCACTCAAGTCTTCAGTGAACGCGTAGCTGCCACAATGCAGTATACAGCAACTTTTTGTAAGTTAACTACTGCCTATTTTTTCAATAAGGATAACTATTCATATTTTAACTATGGTAGTCTATTAAAGTGTTTTTGACGAGTTCATCACACACAGTCCACCTGATGGTAAGTGGTTTCTGTGGCCCATAGACATCTACATTTATCCTCGATTACAAATCAAAATGCAGATGCGTTGTCACCCGTGAGGACTAAGATGGAATGGCTTGTTTCCAGTAAGAAGGGTCTCCGGTTCTCTACTCTCACCATACGAAACACAGCAGCATTAAGCTGCTATTTTACGCTGGTATTCTGTGTCCTTCCCCAGTCGAGCCGACCCATTTGTGTTACAACTATACCAGAAATATAGCTGCAGCATGGCTCTACCACGTATAAAAGGTAAAAAAGGTGGTTTTCTAGTTTTCTATATGCTAGAGTTGCATCAAGAATTTCATCCTTTAAACAAATCAAATACTTTATTTGCTATTGGTGTAAAGGTTTTAGGATAGTTATATTATGTACTTACAACTAAATGGACTTTATCAGGCATTCTAAACTTAAGGGAATTGTATTAGACAAGATATAAGTAGAAAACAAATTCTTTGTACAACTATTTAAATATAATATAGTTAAATAAAAAAAAAATTAAAATGTCACAGAGTAAAGTTCTACTTAACTTAATAAAATAATGTCAATGGGATTCTCAAATATTACTAGATTAAAATATATTAATAAATATAACTAAATTTAAATTAATATTTTCTATCATTTCATAAAACAAATGTCATAATGTAAAATTTTAATTTAATACAATCATAATGTCAACAAACTTAATATTCACCCACAGAATAGAAACATTTTTGAAGGAGAAAGGTTTCAGTTTTTTATTAAATAGTTTTGCTTTTCTGTGTGTTTATTTGTACCAAGAAATTACATATTATGGATCTTAAAGTTGTCTTTTGATGAAATGTACTCTGCTACGATAAATTAATAAATGATCTTAATTGATGTCCATTTGCTGGATGATTATTTAATCTATGAATATGTTTTTAATTATTGACAAACAAGTGCACAGCTCATCTGATAGTAAGTGGATAGATAAGTTGTAATTCATAAAGATAATAAGTGTCCAGCAGGCCTTATTATATTAGTAGGTATTTACAAATTATTTTATTATTTTTATGCTTGATGCTGATATATTTTTTGTAGACAATCCTTGAAATTGTGAGTTTCTTATACTTTGGTCAATGTATAACATTATGGGCTACCATGTAAAAAGCGATTAATGGAATATTGGGTTTGTGATTGTGTACGCGTAAAGCTAACTTTATGTCCTTTTTTAATTTCCTATGTCACATCCACAACTAAGACAAATATCTGATGATACCCAAATGTTAAAATCCATCAAGCTGTTTGGGCTACAGTATGATCCCATCAATGCCCATCATATTGTTTATCATATAACTTTTGATAGTTTAGTTTTTACTTCTTCTCTGTGAGATTTGCAGTCTATGAATGTGTGTTTGTATTTAAATAACTCAACTGTCTCTAAAGATGAACTTTGGGGTTTAATGTTCATTTGGAGTTGGAAAGATTTAAATAAAATGTAAATTGATTTTTCTTGTTTAGTTATTATTAATTTCATAAAAAATTATTTTGTAATAAACATGAGTAAAGATTGCCTGTTACATGTAAGTAAAAATACATCATGTAAAAGTAATTCTAATTTCATGTTTTTTGTTCCAGCTCAGCGACATGACGGAACACAAATCAGTGAAACAACAAAAAATACAGCTGCAGCAGTTGCTTTCTTTGACCAATTGTTCGACAGTTGCAATGGTTCGAGGTCTGGTAGGGCTCCAGGAAAAATACGAGGTCCAGTCAAACTGAATAGTGCCCACAAAGCATTTTGGATTGAAGCCATTAAGAAGTTTAAAAAAATGCATTTCATTCCAAAAAATTCTTTAGAAAAAGCTACAATAAAAAATGTACCAACATTAAACAATTGGGTTACAACACTAGAAAGCCTAATAAGAGTAAGTGAAATAATGCAATCGGAGGGGGTCAGTTTCTTTTACACGAGAAACCTAAATCAAGACCCCCTTGAAAATTTCTTTGGCAAAATAAGAGCATATAATTATAGATATACCAACCCCGATACATTTTCGTTCCGAAACTCTTTTAAGTCATTATTAATGACGGACATGCTGGCCATCCACACAAAAAATTTTAATTGTGAAGATGATATGGGGGAGACCATATTAAACATAACAACTTTATTGAATGAGGAATTTGCTTCAGATGAACAACCAGTTCCCGATAGTAATGATAATAGAAACCTTAGTTGTTCATCTGAAGTAAATTTATCAGGAAATATGGTCTCCTCCATATTTGAAGAAAAAATAAATGTAAATGCGAGGAGTTACACTTCAGGATATATTATAAGAAAACTGTGTCAAAATAAATGTAAAAATTGCAAAAAAACATTTTTAAATAATGAGGATCAGCAGCTTAGTGTCCATGATTTAATTAGACACAGAGAACGAAAGCACCTTAAAGGGAAAAATCTTATGTACCCTAGTACAAGATTTATTGTAGCATTTTCAAAATTAGTTGATTTAAGTAATGTGGTATTAAATAATACTTGCCACAAAGGAAATATTATTAAAAATATATCCGAAAAATTTATTACTCAAAATAATTTGGAATGGATAGGCTGCCAAGAGCACCATGACAAAATCAAAAAAAAATTTTTACTTCTTGGGGCTAAAATCCAAGTATTTCACTGGTGCCGAACAATAAACAGAATATTGAATGGATCGCATTGTGTAATTAATTTTAACGATGCACCATATATTCAAAAAATAGCACATATAAAATAGTTAAAACAAAGAAAATATAAAGAATGAAACTTGCAAATATGTTTTTTTTTAAATTCCTTTCCCTTATTAATATAACTAATAAAGAATAATGAAAATAAAAGAAATCGATAAACTCAATTCACATCCCTATCGCTGCAAAATCTATCGATATCATGGATAATCTATACACCCCAACACTAACAAGGTAGCCATCTAGCGGGAAAAAGCTTGCCCTCCAAACTCGCTACGGCGACGTACTGTCCTATCTGTCTTGTACATACAACTTTATAATTTGTGTTCATTACAGTTTGTTGGAGTTTTGGAAATTTGGATTTGATCGAATGAAATTACTTTCAAGTGTTAAAATTCCATGCTTATCCTCTCACGTTAAAAATTGTGTACTCATCATGAAGAATGCTTGTTGTGTTTCGCATTGCAAAAGCAAGCGTCATAATGTAAATTACATTGTTTTCCAAAGACTGAGGTAAGACTCAAGTGTGTGGAAAAAATAAATTGTGAAAAAAAGCAGCTCAATGCAGAAGAGCTACATAATTTTTTGTGTATCATAAGCACTTCGGGTCGAGATTTGTTACCGGTAGTTTGCTTCTTCACCATTTTGCCTTACCACCTTATCTACGGCTGACAAAATAAATACTGGAATACCTGCTCTGGAAATGGACAACTATGGTAATCTACTTATTTTTCTATTAGGGACATTTGCTTGATCTTGTATTTTTAGTATAATTCTGCATAACTCTCCATCACAATTGTAAGGCGCTTGCAGAATAATCTGTCAATATCACTGAAATAATTCTTTCCTAATTTTGATTATCTAACTAAATTCCATTATGTATTGATGTTTTTATAGGATGTGGCTGTGCCTCTCAAGTGAGAGTAGAACAGATTGCCTATGATATAATAAAATCAATCTTAAAATTGCAATATCAAAATTATTATTCAAAGGTTGCCATCTGCCAAGTTATTACATGTAACTGTCAGTCTGTTGAAGAGTATGTGGTATTGAACAATTCAGCCACAAATAACCTGTAATTTGTGAATAGATAATTGTCCACTAAAAAGAAACTACATAAGACCTATTCTTGGATTACATATTCCAACGAACAAGTTTGTTTTTTTAATGAAAAATGTGCCAACACCAAATCGTGACATATGCGGAATAGTTGAAAATTTCCAACATATTTTAATGGAATGTGTCTTGAATGAAGCCATGAGAATGTTTTGGTAGTGATAGGAATTTTCACTTTGGCACCTTGAACAGTATTTTGGCTTATCCAATGTCAAAGGAGGCTAAAATGCTGGTCAAGCTAGCAGACTTGTTTCTGTGTATGGAATAGGTGTGACTATTTATATTTCCACTTATTCCTCAGGTGTGAATATTTATAGTTGTGTTTATTGCACATAACCATTGTTACTTTAATAAATTTTGTATTTGATTGTAGTGATTAAGTAATTGTGGTCGGAATGCACATAACCATTGTTACTTTAATACATTTTGTATTTGATTGTAGTGATTAAGTAATTGTAGTCAGAATGGGATGATGTGGTAGCCTAGCGACTAAGTCCTTTATAACAATAAATTGACAAAAAAGTCTACAAAAAGGTAAAATAATAACTGTTTGAAATGAATAGTCAGTGTTCTAAAATGTTTTTATTTATTTAACAACAACGGTTGTTGCTAAATAAATAGTCAAATTATTTATTTAGCAACAACCACTATAAGTGTCACCTAAGTCTTTGTATTATAGAAAGTAAAGCAGCTTTGTAATTTTCTGATATTTAAGTAAACAATTTTAAGACATTATCAACTAATATTTGTTAGTCTTATGTCAGTAACATCTTTAGATCAAGATTGTTTCCCTGAATAAGAATGTATCTTATATAACTTATTTTTTTATAAAATATTAAATTTTTTGCAATTTTGGTCCAGTTTTCTAGATACATTAACTGCATAAATAACTTTGTAATCCCATAAAAATAAAGGATTACAAAATTACATTTGCAGTAAAACAATCAGTGTACCTGTATATGTATAATATAATGGAATAATAGGTGTAGATAGGTACTTTGTTGGTATTCAAGAAGTAGATGGTACCGGAAAGGAAAAAGTAGGGCTGTATACAAAAAGAAATGAGATGCCATCAAAAACATAACATGTAAAAGAAACCAAGTCTCGTAACTCAGTTCTTCTACCGTAAAAAGTTGTGTGAACCAAGTCGGTTAATTTATTCAGTCCTTACTTACTTAGGGTCCTTCTGTCTTAAGTTATTGCGTAATTAGCCAACCTAACATCTTATGTTGGCCATATCAATATTAAAAACCTTTTATGTTTTAAGTAAATAGATTGACTTGGCAATCACACTAAACGATCTAATTTAATATCATTTTACTGTACGTTAAACATCGATAGTTTGGTAATCCGATAGTATCGATAGTTTAACTAAAAACTATCGATAGTATCGATAGTCTATCGATAGTTTAAAAACTTGTAGGATTAGCGTAACATCAATAAAATAACAAATGTTATACGAAACGTAGAATTTTATTTTGATATATATATATTCGAAATAACAATCAAACAATCAAAAATCAGTATTCATCATTATTATAGTTAGAAATCAATCATTAAAATAACAGCTATTTTGTTTTATAAACAACAATTCATTTAATCTTTTTTCTTTTAACCTATTTCTGCGTTCGGTTAAAATTTGTCCGGCCTTCGAAAATATTCGTTCTGAAGGCACAGAAGATGCTGGAATACAGAGATAGAGCATCGCTAATTCCTTCAATTTATTGTTGGTGTATTTCCAGTATGTTATAGGACACTCTTTTCTGTCAATTACTGGCTTCTCGAGATATTGCCTGACATCTACCAATGAGTTACTCAACGGGGTCGATACGTCCGGAACGTCTAGAAATCCCAACAGGTCATTAGATGTTCCTGAAGACGTGGATGGTGTTGGTTGCGTTTCTTCTACAGCCAAGCGTTCTTTAGTTAAATGGCTAGCATAGGCCTTTTCCAGCCACTGACCAGCTCGCTTCTCGTCGTCACTTGTTTTGAACCCCTTCTTAAATCTGGGGTCCAATATTGTAGCAAGTACAACAGGTGTCCTGCTTTCATAGGGACTTAGTCTTTTGTCAACTGATCCCTTCATGCAGAGTAATATTTTGTTTCCGCTTTCAGTAACAATTTGAGATTCAACTTCTACTAATTTCGTTTTTATTCCACGAATCAATGGTATTATCAGTGACAATGTTATATAGCTTTCTCCGGAAATTTTTGTTGTAGCTAGATCGAAAGGTTCCAGAATTTGAATTGTTTCTTGAATAATTAGGTATTCGTCAGCATTGACTCCTGGTGGAGCCCGATTACATTCATTAAGTGCGAGAGTTAATTCTGTCTTCATTGTAACAATTCTTTGCAGCATGTGGTATGCACTGTTCCAGCGGGTGGGTACTTCCTGGATCACTTTCAGTTCTGGTTTATTTAATTCACGTTGAATAGTCCGTAATTTATCGCTAGCTAGAGTACTCATCTTGAAAAAAGTCACAATCGATTTACATTTTTTCAGAATCTGGTCTAAGCAGGTCACAGCAAACGAATCACTTACCGTCAGGTTTAGTGTGTGCGCAAAGCAGGGTATATGTCGTATATGCAGTTTGGCTGCGGCGTTAATCATTGTTTGAGCGTTATCAGTCGTTATTGCTTCACATTTTGACCTGATATCCCATTTTGAGAGAGTAGCATCCAACATCTGAAAACAATAATAATATTGTTTATGTCTGATTATAAAGAAACACTGAATTGGTAGGTATCAAGGCAATAAAATTTAAAAATACTTACACTGGCTATATTTTCTGCGTTATGACTTCCTTCCATCTTCACAACTTCCAATAATGGTGCAATTAATTTTTCGTTGTGAAAGAAATGACAAGTAACTGAAAGGATGCCTTCATTTGCAATTGATGTCCATAAGTCAGTAGTCACACTAACATGTTCTGCTTTCGATAATGCTATGACGAGCTTCTGTTTCACGTTTTCATAATATTCCGGCAGTAATTTCTTTTTCAATATTGTTGTATCAGGAATTTCATATCTACTATCGAGAGCATTTACAAAATCCCGAAATCCTTCATGTTCTCCTTTTCGCAAAGGTTCATGTCAACAGCAGTCATGCGCACGTATTTGTTATCCAAATTTTGCTTTGTTTTCCCATCTGGATATTTACTACTTCTATCAAAATAATTTTTTAGCGTATTTCTCTTTTTAGGGCTTGGGCCCATTTTCTCATTTTGCTCAGTGGTATCTACGTCTTGAGTAACAGAAACAGTGGATGACCACATCCATACCTCATTATGTTTTCTCTTCATATGATCGATCAAGTTCGTAGTATTTCCACTTAGTTTAAACTCTCTTTTACACAAAGAACACTTGGCAAACTTTTCATTAGTCTTTTTGAAGTAATCCCACGCACGTGACTTACTACTCATGTTTTATTGTTTAATTCTAAATTGTTTGTTACTCCACTCAACTTCAAACATCCACAATAAAAAACTGACTGACTGACTTTTGTCTTGTAAATGAATGATATACGCACGGTAATTCCCCAACCATAGAGAAGAATCTCAATGTCTACGCCTTTGAATGTATGATATACGCACGGTAATTCCCCTACCATAGAGAACAATCTCAATGTCTATACCTTTGTCACTATAGCCGGGGAATAACTTACATACATGCATACCTCGACTCTAGGGATGTAAAAGTAGTACCCGAGTAAACAATCGATCGATAGTTTTAAAAACTATCGATAGTATCGATAGCCATTTACTATCGATACCATCGATAGTCTATCGATGTTTAACGTACACTATATCATTTGTATTATTTGCTAGATACATTTTGTTTTCATGCTCTTAAAAAAGCTATATAGTATACCACACAATGTGCTACCAAGTGACTATCATTTTGATGGCATAAAATTTAGGGAATGGGCCTGCTGTTCACTGTTAACTATAAAAAGTATACATATTTGTTTCCAGATATCAATGAACCACCATCCATCTATAAACATTTTAAAATGATAGGACAAACAGCAGTGTCTACATCATGACAAAACTGGTAAATATAATAATTGTAAAAATCTTCATAAATTCTTCACAAATAGTATATTATTATGTTCAGTTAATTACCTTATGTTTTTATTCCTAGGTTGCAAATCGGCAAGAATCGAAAAAATATTGCTCGCTAATATTTGGTGAAGTTTCGATAGAGCCAGGTCTTACATATGACAAATACAGTTACAATATCTGTGGACTTGTAGAGTTACTGTCTACTCAGAGTCACAGTTACTGTGACTATGCCGACCATGCCTTAATGTTCCTCATTTGAGGTACTATACACAAATGGCAACAGCCCATTGCCTTTTATTTTTGTCAGGAACTAGACCTGCACTTATATTAAAAAATATAGAAGAGAATAATAACTGGATTAATTCCTGTGGCTCTGGTATCAGATCAGGGAACATCAATTCAGTCAGCCTTTAATAAGTTGAAGAAAGACAAGAAAAAACACAAATATTGGCAAATGAAAATACTGGTAAGATAATTAAATGAAAGGTTTAAAACCACAAATTAAAGTTTTTAATAAAGTGCTAAAATTATTAGTAATGTATTTTTATACTTTTGATTGCCTATTAACCAAATTTTTGTTTTCATTTCAGATGACACAATCACAAGAAGTCAAAAGATTAATATCATATTTGATCCTCCTCACCTCATTAATGGTCTAAGAAATAATTTTCTTGACAAAAATATAGTATTGAATGGGAAAACATGAAAATGGGATGATATTGTAGGTGTTTATTTAACAGACTACAAACATGCAGAAATATATTTGCCGCATAAGTTAAATGATGAACATGTCATTCCTCAGAAAATAAAAAAATGAAGGTAAGCTTACCAATGTAAGAAAATAAATATATACATACAATAGAATACATCTTTGGAATAAAGCCAAATTAATTAATATTAACATTTGGTTTTTCAGGTGAGAAACTGCAGTTGTGTGTTAAGCAAAACTGTTGCAGGAGCCTTGGCATACACATCAAAATTTTGTAAGTCTGTTGATTTAAATATTATTTTATTTTAATTTACAATATGGGGAAATCTATCAAACTTTACCAAATTCCAACATCACCTGCATGAAGTGAGCCCTGCTTACTAATAAATAGTGCAATCTACTTCTGTAGGTAATCCATTTACATTTGCAGAACCAAAAATCTCACAACTAGATGATGGAAAGTGCATTGTGGCTATAGGCACATTGAAATATTGTATCATCTTCATTATTATAGCCTCTTCAAAAGTCCACTGCTGAACATAGGCCTCACCTGAAATGTCGTTATACACAGAACTCACCCATGTGCACACATCACATTCCGGCATGTCTTATCAGGTCATCACCTTAGTGGGGGGCCGTCTTACGATTTGCTTACAGATGTGCGCCTACCAATAGAAAAATATTCACTGATTTATAAAGTCCTAAATCCAGCAGAGGATGTAAATGTAGAAAGCTGATATTTATTTTACTTTTTTATACTTTTTATTGCATACAATATTATATTACATAAACACTGACAACAAACTATATACTAAATGTACAATTAGCGGGCCTTAATACTAAACAGAGATCTGTTCCAGGAAAAACTATAGAGAAGGAGATTATTTTTATATAAGGTTGCATGGATACTTATAAGCTGTATTATGTAGGATTGACTGCTTTGTTGGTCTAGTGGTTGTAGTAGTGTGACTGCCGATCATGAGGTTCTGGGATCGATCTCAGGTCGGGCCAAAAACCAATTATTGAGTTTTCTGTCAAGAAATCTTCAGTAGCTGCCTGGAGTCAAGAAGTTGGCGGTGTCTTACTACCATGCCTCGGAAAACTCGTAAAGGCGTTGATCCTGCGCCTGGTCTCTCTCCGGTCGTGTCAGTTTACTGTTCCGTCGGATTGAGAGTGAGGAAATAGAGAGTGCACCTGTACTTGCGCATAGATTTAGGCAATATAATCCTATTATAAACCCTCAGTATTCTATAGGATGCATTTCGCAGTGTGCGTAGGAATTGCACGCTTTAATTCCTTCTTCTCCTTTTCACCATCGGACGACCAGGCGGTCGGCGGGTCTTTACCCCTTTGTTGTTGATATTCCACGCATTAGTACCAAACGGTTTACTTCGAATTTTTTAATGCATACAGCAAAGGAGTGGAATAATTTGCCAGCATCTATCTTACCATCCGAATACAATCTGGACGTCTTCAAGGCAAGAGTGAATAGGGTTTTGTTACGCTAAGACAGTGCGATTTACTATCTAAGGCTGCATCACCACTTACTGCCAGGTGGGATTGTGGTCAAGCACTGGCTTATAAAAAGTAAAAAAATATATAAGAATAAAAGAGAAACAAATAACATTAATTTAGGGTTTCTATGGCTAACACTATATTTATTTTTATGTTACAGCTCGCTAAGCTGATAGAAAACCTGTAAACTCGACGTCAAAAATACTTCAGAAGCTTTGTCATTTTTCGAGGACTTATTTGATTCATGTAAGGAAACAGCTCTTAGACTGAGAAACAAAGTGAAGCCCTTAAAGCAAGCTGTAACGAATTCATCAGAGCACGAAACCCTTTTGACTAATTCCATAAAAAAAATTAGAGGTAATGAGATTCGTTAATAAAGAGGACAAGGAGTGTATTATGTCCTCTAAAAAATTCAGTCGTCAGTCCACCAATGGATTTCTCACAGAGAGTATAGATACTTAAAATAAAAACAAAAATCAACCTATCCCTCAGAATATGCAGTGAGGTATATTTCAACCGTTGTAAAAGAAACAAACTACTATTTCGAAGTGAAACCAAATTCTTATGAAATTTAAAAAAAAGCGTATGGAAATCCAAATATTGGAACGGAAATGGAACTGGTGTAACGTTACTAAAATCTTAAAAGAATTTGATATTGTGAGATTAAAATAACGTAACCAATTGCCGCAAATGCTAGATAAAGTTTATAAATAATTTAAAAAGAAAAAGAAATAAAAACTTGAATAACTAATATATAAGTTGTTTTATTTTTGTATTATAAGTTCTAAAGATTTTAAAATTGTCAACTTTTAATGGTGAATAGCTGTAGGTATGGGAATGAAATTAGGCTTTATCAATGATGTACTTTTGCCTTATAACTACAAAATTTAAAAGTAACGTAAGTAGGCTTTATCAATGATGTACTTTTGCCTGATACCTCAAAATTAGAAGTAAACAAATGTCAAACTCTAAACTACCGGTTCCGACAGGTATTGGTTGTTCTAAGATAGATTCCTGCTTCTCTCTATTATCTATACAGTACTCCAACATCATACAAACGGACGAAGCGAGAGCTATGCCTACGCGCCTCGATCTCCTCGGCATGCAGACTGTCGAGACTGTGCCGCAGTCATGATTTTGTGAAATATATAAAAAAATGGAGGAAATAAATAATATAATAGAAATAAATAAATAATAAATCTGAACTTCATTTAAAAACAAACATATAAATTGTAAAGTAGCTGCATGTATCTATAACCAATTAAAGGATATTCCTTTTCTCCACGTTGTCCATGTTTCCCAAAACAATTTTTAATTTATATTATTTTTAGCTTTATATTAGAAAGCGGATTTTTTATATTTAAAAATCTAATAATAAAGCATTTCGTAAGTCTCAGCCGAGGTGCAAATATTTTATTCAAACATAAACATGGTTTTTTAATTAAATCTACCAATCAAAAAACGACACGCATTTTTATTGAACATTTCCTATTCAATTCACAAAGTACCTATTTTATTTGTTTATATAAAAAGTATATTTACAATCATAAAACTAAATAGAAACACAAAGTAGGCAAATGTAAAAATGCTGGAGGTAGGTAACCCTATCACATGTTTACGTGGCGCACGGCTGTAGGCATTTATTTGAAAGATACGGCCGAGTTACAATACTGTATAGATAATATTACCGTGACCAAGGGGCCAAGCCCTTCATTTTTTTATTTTCTGAGGAATGACATGTTCATCATTTAACTTATGCGGCAAAGATATTTCTGCATGTTTGCAGTCTGTTAAATAAAAATCTACAATATCATCCCATTTTGATGTTTTCCCATTCAATACTATATTTTTGTCAAGAAAATTATTTCTTAGACCATTAATGAGGTGAGGGGGATCAAATATGATATTAATCTTTTGACTTCTTTTGATTGTGTCATCTGAAATGAGAACAAAAATTTGGTTAATAGGCAATCAAAAGTATAAAAATACATTACTAATAATTTTAGCACTTTATTAAGAACTTTAATTTGTGGTTTTAAATCTTTCATTTAATTATCTTACCAGTATTTTCATTTGCCAATATTTGTGTTTTTTTTCTTGTCTTTCTTCAACTTATTAATGGCTGACTGAATTG